CATACACAGACACAATTCTCTAATCACAAGCCCGGAACAGGCAGGGTTTGTGTCTGAAACCACATGAAGATCATGATTGTATCGGTCTATGCTCCTCTGCTGAACAAGGCAGTCCTTTGAGGAAGCCACAGCCTTGAAAGGCAGCGCCATCGGCAGCAGCAACAGCACATGATGAAGAACATGTACCTACATGTGCATGCACACGGGGAAAGAGAAGAACAAGCTTTGAGGTTTTCTAGGGCTCTGACACTAGGATAAATAAACACTTTGCTTACACCATGAGGAAGGAGATGAAATGACTCCCAAACTCTCCAAAACAGTAAAACCATCTCATAAAAATTAAAGGACTTTTCAGGATGGGAATTTAGAAGGCTATCAGGCCATTTTTTAATACAAAATTAGCATGCCTTGACAGGAAGAATATTGATTCAGTGGAAGAGACTATGTGGCAGGCAGTGTGTGTCGTCTTTCTATAATGGTTCAAATTTTGAACCACAACTCATTCATTACAACAAAGTTGCTGAAAGAAAGGTGTCAAAGTTTCAGTGTTGCCCCAAACACTTTGTTCAATGAAAAAAATCAGAATTATGAACAGCTACAACACACACACACACACATTACATATTTATAAATCCGAAGTCACTATAATACATCTATAAATTTCATTCATTGCTGGCCTAATATTGTGACTCTGGATTTAAAAATGTATGCCATTTAGCACCCTGGGGAAACAGCTGATGGTGTAACATCCCTGAAGCTAAAGTCAGAAGGGGTCAAATACGGTGTGTAACCTTGGACACACCATGCCCTCAATCCTGCTGAACTTCCTAGTTCTTTATCCACCAGATAAAGAAAATCCCAATTCCTAAAGCATGAAAAAGACAGATGAAACAGCATACCACATAAAAAGCATGTAGTACAACACTGAAGTTCGGTTTTCATTTTCCCTTCCTGTCCATAAAGTAATGAGACTTTGTCCCCATGGAACTGGACTTTATTGCTTTGTAATTACGATGTGCATGTAACAATGTCCAAGAAACTAGATGGTAAATAACACCGACATGCAAGCCTGAATGCACACGCTGTCAGTTGGCTATCATCTAGATCCCAAAGGGCTCTTGCACACTATCTATTGCATCCCAGAAATATGACACATTTTCTTTTCTGAATACAGCCAGAATTATCCACCAGCTTTGAAATATCACCATCACGATGCAGCAAGGAGCAGCTGGTTGACTGAAAGTGACTCCCCTCCCCCACTCTCCAGCTGTCACCAGGAAACCCCTCTCAATGTGTGAAAAGGACAGTATTACTACTACCAGTACTAATAACAAGCTAACAAATGGTTAGATCTGAAAATTTTTATGGGGAGTCATTATTAAGTAAAACAAAAGCAAAGCAAGACAAAAACTACTTTGCCATATGAATGAAAACCAGATAGTGTCACATAACAAAAACACTGGTTTTCGTACACAAGTAATACTGTATACTTCTTTTGACTCATTGTTTCTCTTCCCCAGTCACTTATGATACTAACAACACTTAAAATACTAAGGAGCTTTTAATATTGATAGAGCTGTCATCGTGTAAGGGGGATTTTTAGGAAGCTATGGGTTTGTTGTTGTTTTTCTGCACAGAATCCTATGTCTGTACAATATGGGTCAGACTGAAGACTGTGTTTGTTTTGGGATTCTTGTTATTGTTTTGAAATAACCGCCCATTGCCTCTGTATGAGAACCCAGACAGATGCTCGCCCTGGAGACAAATCTAGCAACTCTGCAGGACACATCTAAGGATTCCAAGCACCTGTATTCTTAACAACATAGTTTTAGGTACAGCTCCCCCTCGGAGCTATGCCACTCACAGTGACTCATACACAGATTCCCAGAATCCAGTTCTCTAGAGACATTCTGGATCAGGAGCCTGTGTCCTCCAACCTCACAGATCTCTGAGACTTTCAACGCTTGAACTTTCTGTGAAAATTTCTGCTTAAGAGGCCCCAAGTTAAAACAAAATAAACAAATAAAAAACTGAGAACCACTGCTTGGATGAAATAATTCGATCAAAGTACACTTTTTTTTAAAAAGCTTCAAAATTGTAATGGCCTTTTACAATAATTTTAATGTATGTATCCATATAAGTGTATAGATTATTTATTTTTATATCTTGGTCTTTACCCTCATATAATACACTACAAAGTAAACAAAAGTATGGCCTACTATGAATGCCTATAAGTATATTCCATGTACATACATTCATAGCTGTGCAAAAACATGAAGAAAGCATAAAGACTTTGTACTTTTATTTTAAAAAAGGTAGAACACACCAGTATTCTAGGTAAAGCATACATATTGAAAAATATCAATTATTTCATGGTTAATAACAATTTTATGCATTTATTTGCAGAGGCATCATCTTCTATAACATCATATGGCAGATCTGTCTGTACCCAAAGAAATCAGTTAAAGAATAATCAGGTAGTTTGACGTTAATTATCTCTAATCTTCTGGAAATTGTGAAAACAGTGTCTAGAAATCACTCATTATGAAATAACTAATGTTTTTCTACCAAACTAAGCTGTAACTTTCTGCAAGTGTTTCCTCTCTCACACAATGTCATGAAATCTTGACTCTCACTTCAGCATCTTCATCACTTCGAAAGAGCAGTGGCCAGGAAGTAAAATGACCTCGTGTGTAAAACATGACTAGGAAATAAACGGGGCAGTCAGAATTGAATTGATAGTCATTTCTTCCCCTTTCAACAAGAGACATCACCTAACCTATCTATAAAACACAGTAACAAATAATAGTTAACACACTATCGCATTTAACTTAGGAGCTGCAGGTGCTGCTATGACTCCCCCTTTACAGGGAGAGAAATTAAAACTGGAAAGATGCTAATTTGTCTATAGGGTGTAATCAATGCACAGGGGAGGCAGGATTCAGGATTCAAGTAGGGTTGGTCTGACTCAGAACCGCAGTTACACATCTTCACTAGGAGTCTTTGAAAAACAATTGTATCCTGACAGGACAGTATCAGGATGGTAAGATTAACTATTACTGATAGCAACTGGTATCACAAGCAGCATATTTACTTGAAAATTTACTCCCCACGGTTTCCCCAACTCTCAGCATGACTTGAGTACCAGTGCTGTCCAGGCAAAGCCAGGTGTTACACAGACCACAGTCACTGATACTTCTCAACACTGTACCAAGCCTAGGCTCTAGGGCAGCAGCTTCAAACCCTCAATGATTCTTTGTATCCCTAGGAGGATCCTTGGAAATAGGAAGAGTTTTTAGGAAAATGCTACATGTAGCAATTTGAAGAAAATGAGCAGGGTGAGAGCATGTCTAACTTAACTATGATCCTTCAAATAAGTGGACAGCACGCCTCTTTGCTGTGATAAAGCTGTACAACATATGAGGACAAAAGATAAGGACAGGAACATCACCAGCTTTGGCTTTGGGGTGCTAGACCCTCCTCTACTCCTCTTTTCAACTCTTTTCTGGCCTTTACCGAATGCTGGGCCAAATAAAAAAATGTTAAATTATCACCATTCTATCTGTCCATCTTCTAAAATTCTACAGTGTAAATAATACTAGTATCAGTACCTACTGCTGTAACTTTCTGGGTTTGTTTTGATTTTTTGCATAGGGTTCCATTACGGATTGCAGGCTGGCCTCCAACTTGTGATTTCTCCTGCCTCAGCCTCCAGAGCACTGGAATTACAGGTGAGTCACCACATCTAGCCAAAAAGTTGTCCTGTGTCTACATTTTCACTATTCAGAACGTGACTAGGATAAAAGAAGAATCCTCTATGCAGTAGTCACAATCTCCATGAACTCAGACTATCTAACCCTACAATTTGTCCTTCCTCCACAACTTACAGGTTTTCTTCATCCGGGTCTAGTAACTTACTAATGTATGACTTTTGAGTAGCATAACATTAATGCTTTAGCGCGAGTCACTTGTTTTCACATGGAATGCATAGCACTATGAAGTCACAGTTAAGTGATGTCAGTTTCAAACGTCTGTACTCTACAACTACTTTTTATGGTTATGCTATTCGTTAAACATAGCACCCAGAAGTACTGGAATGGACCAGAAGGCATGCTCAAAGGGCTATGACACGAAAGTCTCTATTGCCAACAATTTCCCAGAAGATGCTGATAATGGGGCAGCTCCGGCAGCAAGGCATGACTCTTTGTGGATCATCTGCTCTCCTGGAATGAGTCACAACAGACTGGAAGCAGAATCGTTAACAGAAGCAGAAAGAAGGTAAAGGAGGTTAGGACTTTAGAACAAAAAGTAAAGAAGGATGAGAACTAGACACCCCACACATAACAAAAATGTGGGTGCCACGAACCTACTAAAAGACACTTTAAGACAGCCTGACAACTGAGTCTTAACTGCAATAACTAGATATTAGCCGCTTAAAAAAAAAAAACAATTGATGCCTATTTTGGAACAACAGAAAAGCAGACGCTACGAGTTTTTTGTGGGGGGGGGGCAGAAAAAGAGATGGGTCCTACATCGTGGAACAGCTTTTCACAAGATAGTATGGGTCTGTGTTTGGAGACAGAAGCAGCGGTCCCCTCAACCACCTGCCAGTGCTAGCTCCGTGGCTGATGCAATTTCGCCTCAAACTTCCTGATATCAGAGGAACGCATCAAAAGCTCAACGGGAAGCCACGACCTCTTCTATTACCCCGAGAAAGTGATCCGGGTGAGACTGGACCGTGCCGCCGTTTCCCCGCGCGCCCCAAGCCTGAGGGGGGTGAGAAGACCCACACCAGCCCAGCCCTCTCCCACCTCCCGGCCTGTCCCAAAGCAGCGCTTCCGCCCGGCGGACCCTAGCCCCAAAGCAGCGCTTCCGCCCGGACTGCGCCAGCCCGGATCTCAGCCCCTGCCTCTCCATCTGCGGTTCGGGAAAGCCGCGGACACATGCCGCACAAAAGCGACGCCACAAACTCAACCGAACAGATGCGGAAACTCACTCACTCAAGACCCGCCTGCGTCCTCACTTAGTCTCGCGTACGCGCGTCACCACGCTCGGACTCCGAATACCGAGGCTCCACTTCCCGCACGGACGCCGATTCCGGAAGCTCCACTTCCGGCAGCCGGGGGGGGGACGCGCCGCTGCTCGCGCATGCTCAGTGCCACAGGCGGCCTTTCTCAGGCTCCTCTGGCTGATGCATTGGGCTCCTCCAGCTCAGCCCTCAGTCTCCCTTCACCGCCATGAGCGACTAGAGACCACGCACAGAGCACAATAGCCCCGCCTGTGGCTATATCCTCAAGTTGGAGAAAGTTCCTTCCTGCCCCAGTGCAGCCTGTGAAGTGGACAGGGAGACACTGCCTGCTCCTCGTGGGCCTTGAGAGAGCTGCTTACCCCAGAAAGTAGGGCAGCGAAACAAGGCCATGGAGTACTTTTCAGTCCCCAAGCGCAGATCCGAGGCTGCATGGATTTGCCTGCTTCCTGCCTTAAGGGGTTGAAGTAGACCGTAGATGAGTCTTTGATCAGAGGATGCAATTTCCCTTTCTGCTTCTAGCGTGGAACCAGTTGCGTGGACAGTGTAGGAGTCAGCTTCCGCTAAAGGCAGTGCTGCGTTAATTCCATACAAGTAAACAGCCTTTGGCGTAATCGGAGGAACGTTCCACTTTTCAGGGCATGAGTCAGGTGCAGGTAGCCCTTTGTTGACTTACGAAAGGTTTTAGCAGCAGTGGGATTAAAACTTTCTGGGGCACAAAAGCTTAATCTTCTATCATTATATAATAGAACCCTTCCTAGAAATGTTTATCTTAGAGATGGAATTTAGGTGGAAATCTGGCTCATTTGTAGGAGATATGTTTGAGACATTCAAATGGTAAAATTATTAATATCTCCGGGGACGAATTCTTTTTGGTTTTTGGAGACAGGGTTTCTCTGGGGCTTTGGAGGCTGTCCTGGAACTAGCTCTTGTAGACCAGGCTGGTCTCAAACTCAGAGAGATCCTCCTGCCTCTGCCTCCCAAGTGCTGAGATTAAAGGTGTGTGCCCCCACCGCCCGGCCAGGGATGAATTCTTGAATATTATAATTTAACCCTTTTAACGTAAAAGAGTATGTTGGTCCAAGGCTGACAATGAAAAATTGCATTCTTGGATTCGGAAACCCACGTGAATACGGGGAAGTAAATTTCACATAGAAATATATTTCCTTAGAAAAAATAAGCACAATGTCTCAAATGGAGGGGACTCCCTATTGTTCCTTCTGATAATCATAATGTATCCATTGTATTAATATACTCCTATTCTCTGTCACCCTCAATATTTTTCTATACTTACATTGTTTGTGCCGTTATCATGTCATTAAATGCAGAAGTGACTTTAAAAGAGCCACAAATCAAGTTTCCAGTCAGTAATACCCCCAGCCCCCCCCAAAAGCAATTGTAGATAGGACTTGGGAGTATACTTAGGAGCAGGGTGTGGTGGTGCACACCAATAATTGCAACAGTTTGAAGGTAGAGACAGATGAGTTTGAGGTCAGCCTTAGCTACTTAAGTTTAAGGCCAGCTTAGATTATATGAATCACTGTCTGAACAGTAACAAAAAGTAAGTAAAAACAGTTTTATCCTATTTTTAAATATAAGTAAAATGTTTCATTGGCATTTAGGAGTACAGAGATTTTTTTTTTAATGACTTTGCCATACATGGTGGCAAATACCTGTAATCTCAGCACTTGGGAAAGTGAACGCAAGAGTATCTGGAGTTCAGGACACCCACCCTGCTGCATTGCAAGTTTGAGTCTACCCTGAACCACGTGTCTCAGAGTGAAGATCTTTCACCTGTGTGAAATGATTTGTTGAGCAGTCTAGACTTAAGTTCTAGGCAAGATGAGCCTACTGTTTCATGCTGGAATCAATTGTAACTTGAAAGGTGTCACCTGGGTAGTAATTTCCTAGCCTACACTTTAATAGTAGAATTTTTACAAGTAAACAAGGCTTAAAAATACTAATCAATGCCAGAATAAGACCTATAACATTAATAAAAGCATACAGTTGTTACATTACCTTGTAAAATAATGATTTTTAAGAGCTCAAAAGTATTTTAATTGTCAGATAACAATATGCATATTCCATTTAATATGACATATATTTACAGTCTAAGAGGTAGTTTGAATTGTATCTAAGCCTTGATGGACAAACAATTCTTAGAATTATCTATTTGACACAAACTAATGTTCCTAAAGTGTGATACATTGAAATGGGAATTGACTCAAACTAGTGTTCCCAAAGTGTGATACTTACATTGAAATGGGAGCTGGCTTTTACCTCCTTTGTCAGTTCACAGTCAGGTGGGAAATAGCACGAGGACAGACAGATATCCCCACCTTCCAGAATCCAGCCTGAGGGTAAAACGATGCCAGGCACCAAAAATTGGATTACCATATAAAGGAGGCATTTTGTTTTTATCTCTTACTGCTTCTAATGAATCAAATATATTGTGCCCAAAACTGTTTGAAATGATAGGTAATTAAGGTGATTAAAGAATGGATATCGTCCTTCTTAGGAAACGGGTTGCAAAATTAAATGATTCAACTAGGAATTATAACAGGACGATATTAGATCCTGTGTTATAAGACTGTCAGTACTTAACAGCAGAGTATACACACAGAGAGTAACCCTAAGACACTTATAATGGCCACAGAAAATAGACTTTAAGGAAATTAATGTTTTGTAGGGCAAAAAGATTTCACTGTGGTAAGACAGCCAACACATTAAGATGATTCAAGAACTGTAAATGCCCATGTACCCAACGGTATCATTGGTAAAATTGGGAGTTTAGGGTGTAGTCCAATGATAGAGTGCCTGCCTAACAGCTGCAAAAAGGGGAGAGGATAGAATGGAGTGGCAGACAACAAAAGTCTGATATTTCAATACTCTCGATAATGGGCAGGAAATGAGACCAAAAACCATTAAGTATATAGAAACCATAAAAAACACTTAACACAAATGGTGAGTGCTGACCACTTTACTCAATAACAGCAGAATTTATACTCATTTTAAAGTGTCTTTTCTCCTGGATAGCCCCATATGGCAGGTCATAAAACAGGTGTGAATAAATTTAAAATGAATGGGATCATACAGGTTATCCTCTCTGGTAACAATGAAATTAAATTAGCAATACACAAATACCCAATAGAAATATATTGGGAAATTAAAATACTCAATGACTAAAAGGCAAAGAAAAATTAGTAGTTTTACCTGAACAAAAAGAAAACATTGAAATGTCCCAGTTCCATTTAAAACCATTATCTGAAAGACACTGCCTTAAAGCACTGCCCTGGGAAAGTGTTAAGAGAGGCTTTTTCTTTTGCTAGCCACTTTGGTTTATCCACCGCCAGTCGCCTGGGCTCTCCCGCGCCAGCCTGGTTCTAGAGCCGCATGAGTCCCAAATAAACACACAGGAGGCTATATTCATTATGAAGCTGTTGGCCTTGCTTGTCTCTTACTGGCTAGCTCTGCCTTAAGTAATTACCCCATAATTGTTAATTTAAGTATGTTTCTTACCGGAGAATAGTTCCCGGCGTCCTACCCCCATGGCGACACATGTCGAACTCTCTTGTGTTTCCCCTTCCCAGAATCCTCCTCGACTCCTAGTCCCTCCTATCTAGGTTTTCTATTGGCCAGACAGTACTTTATTGACAAATGCACAGGCAAATAACAGGACTTCCCCAACATCTCCTCTTTTCTGTTTAAACAAAAGAAAGGTCTTAATTTTAACATAGTCAAATTGTATATGACAGAACAGTTATCAAGTAAGAACAGTTACAATATTTTAGCAAGATTTAAAGAAAATATCATCCATCCCATCCTTGTGAGTCCAAAGTCCTATATGTAGCTTATCTTTTATCATAACTAAGGAAAACTATAATTATAACTATCTGTCTTCAACTCCATCAAAGACCACAGAAGGATAATATATAAACACTAGGATTGACAGAGACATCTTACTGCCTGGACAGTCACCCGAAGTTCCTCTGTAACGTTGGGGCATCCATCTTCAGCCCATAGCCCTCAATGTGTCTGGAACACTTCTCAGCAAAGCAGGAAATTTCAAACTGTCCATCTGCGTTGGCAGTCTGTCAGTCATTTTTCTTGTCCTGCAGAAAGTCTTGTAGACTCTTCATGAAGCAGGAACCCTGTAAGACTGAGTTCAGTAGTCACTTTCCTGTGGGTCCTGCATGTCCAGATGATACAACAACAGTCAAACAATCTAGGCAAGAGCAGTTTCTTGCCCAAATGGCTAATCTTGCCATGTTGAAAGCAAACTTTATAACGAGTTTCTTCGATGCCCATTTTCCTCTCAGACGTAATTGGTGCTGCCAGGAGCAGACATTTCTCATTGTCAAGACAAACCCTAAACCATTTTAAATGCCATGTTCTGAAGGTCTTTGAGAGGTTTGAAGACTGTCCATCTCAAATATATTTCTGTATATCTAGAAACCTAACTTACCTAACTATAAATTCCATTATAAGTAACTATCTATAGTCTGTATTCAATTATGTATTATGTTTTAAAAGAACAGTATAAGCACAATACTTGATCAAGAGGAGAAATATAAGCATCACAAAATTAACCTTGAATTTGTATCCATAAATGAAAAACAATACCCATACCATAATTCCCCTTTTTACCATTAAAAAAAAGGTCGGCTGTGATCATTAGCCAATTATAAACAATCCCATTTAAATGAAAACAAAGATTTATAAACAAGATGGGAATTAGGACATCGTTCATTCCAAACTGCTTCCTGCTGGAAGGGGGGCGCTGTTCACACCATGGGGATCATGACAAAACTCAGAAACCTGTATAAGTCCGTATTTTCGGGGTCTGTAAAGCTGCATCATCTTAGCTGTTTCAGTTGTTGGAACACCTGGTCCACTGCTTCCGGGGGTCTTGGTTCGTCAAACCACAGAAGTCTGGAAGAAATCCTCAGCTTTTTATGTTCTGTGGAAACATAAATTAAAACTCCTTTTCCAAGTAACATATCCTTATACTTAAATCTTGAAGTCAAGGCATTTTGAAAAGATAGAAGTTGGATTAATTTAGCAGCATTTATAATCAAGTGT